GCCGCCCAAATGTTTTAAGCCATTTTGGATTTCTGTAACTGAAATTTAAGAATATTATATTTCCCAAATTACTCCATGTAAATAACTGCTGATTGGTTGAAATAATGGGATATTGTAAAATTTAGATATTATCTTATGTTAGTTTTAAATTCAAATTAAAGTATAAGATATTTTAAAAACGTTTAGGTGATTTATTTTGTCTTTAATTTTTTTTGCAGATTAAATTGAAGACAATATAGCGTGGACAATTAATTGATTATTTGTAAATAATTGTATATGTCTTGTATTTAATCAGTTTTTAGCATGCCTTAATATTTGTTGATTTATGGAGAAAATTTTAAAAAAATATATATAAAATGATAATACAAAATAAAATTTGTAGTAATTCATTATTTATGTTCTTATGTAAGTGATGTAATTATTTAAACTAATCTAGTTTTTTTTTGGGAAAGCTAATTAATCTCATAAAGTGGGTAATAAAATTCTTAAAATTCGTGTAACTGACAAAACTAAATCAATGATCGCAATCAAGGCAGAAAGGCATTGTTTATGTGATTTTGTAAAAGAAAAATAAAAAATTATATATTTATTAGCAGTGTAACGTATTTGGACGGGAAAATGGTGAAAATGCCACCTAGGTTTTATTAATTATGTTATTAAATGAAATAGCCAACAATTATAAATATATAGATTAGTATTTTGATGTGTTAAGGATCTCTTCTATCTAAATTTGGTTTGCTCGGGATCTTTTCATTCTGGACCTTCATCACCAGAACATGTATGTAGATGACCTACATAACATCGGGTTGTGATACCTTGCTACGCATGATTTTCATACATGAGAGAACCTATATATAAACATAGTGGTGTAAAAGAGAGACCCTCGACCGGCTGGGTTCAAGTTGATCTACCTAATCGCCGGTGGATGCTCTTCAGCACCTGCACAAACTCAATGTCGAGCTCTAATGCTTAAGTCAGAATTGGAGAGAGTGCGGTGAAGAGATAATGAACAATGTATATTCAATAGAAAAAAGTGTCAAGAAAAAGAACTAACTTACCACACCCATTTATATAGGGGTATGGCATGTTGTTCGCCAAGTTTTCCTAGAGAGTTAACCTAGTTGCTCAGGCTGCTCGTCCTTACAACCTACTCTGTCCCAGGCACCAGAGTTGTCAAGTGGCCAGCCAATCCAAAATGTTGTGACACGTGGTCCAATTCTTGAATGACACTACTCTGGAGTTTGATGCCTTTTTGTCCATTTGTCTTCTTTATCAAACGGTCTAACCATAAGACCAGCTCCACGTCACAAGGTAGAACACTTTCTCGCATGTATCATCCACTGAATACAGAGGTCGATGATTCGATAAGACCCTCGACAGGTCGATGTTCCATCAAACCTTCTGATGTCCCTAGCTCGACCTGTACATCGTACCTTCATTGTGCCACTGTCGACCTGAATGCTCTTTGTTTGACCTTCTGCTTTATACGATCTATCGGTTCACTCGATTCAGTATGCCGGTATCTCAAGTCTAGCTGACTCGGTATGATATCTTATATCATCTGGTCTCCCCTCACTCTAGTCAAGCTAAGACAACTCGATCCAAGAGTGGATTCAATCTGCTCATTTCCTCATGGAACGTCTGCCCATGTTGAGTTAAACTTGACCTCCTTGCTTAACCTAACTGGATAAAATTCAACCTTCTCGTACTCGTGGATAAAATTTCACAAAATCTCAAGTACAAAATTCAAACTCCCCCTTCTGTCGATTAACCTCACCAACCCAACTTTTTCGGCCCCGCCTCACTATCTCGAATTTGAAATTTAAAATTCAAATTCCTGCCACCTGTGGAAGTTGTTAGACCAACGTAATCAATGTGATTGTCTCAAAAATAAAATATATTACACATCTATAACCAACAATTTTTTTTTATCCAAATTCCATCGCTGCCATCAAGGAGGGGCCGAGGTGGATACAAAGAGAATCACCTAGGAGACGACGTATATGAACCCCGCCCGACCGTAGCACCCTATCATAGTATTATAGAAGACGATGTTTGTTTGTGACATTCCATCGAACATCTTGAGGACTATATCGATCTCGCCGAGGGATGCGTAGTTGAAGATGATATTGTTGTGAAGGAAAATGGGTTCTTGATTTGGGGATGAGCCCATTGTGGTGACGAGAGCGTGGAAAGATTTTTTCCGGTCGAGTGACGTAATGTTTCCGGGCGGGTAGCACGTCGGCGCGACATGTGGTTTTGATGATTTCACCATTGGAGGTGGCTGAGAAGATAAGCTTTTGGGTCGAAGGAAGAAATCTGTGAGTGTAGATGTTTTATGTGAAGATATGGTGAGAGAATTCATATAAAGTTTCCCATAAATTAAACTAATTATTGATATAATAAATAACGGGTAAAACTGCAAATAAAAACTAAATTTCTTGCTATATTGTAAATATATACAAAAAGGCTTCTTTTATGTAATAAAATATTAATTGTATGGGGTAAGGGCTAATTTTCTCAAAAGCAAAAACTTGACCTTCGAGCTAACCAATTAGCTTGCAGGGTAGCCCATTATCACGCGAGCCTTCGATTACAGGTACAAAGGGAAAAATTTGTAACTGATCCTTTTTAACAAAGATTTTACACAACAGTAACTAGTCATAAACAGTTCCCAATATACTCCAAACATTAGACAAAAACAGTCATACACGGGAAAAATAATTAAAATCAAATGCTTAAAAAAAACTGAAACGTTTTCACCAAAAACTGAAAAGCGATAATTTGAATTTGAGAAAAAAAAAATTGTATGACAGTTAACAAATAAACTACCGATTAAAAAAACAGAAACCATTGAACCCAAAAAAAGCATCAAACATACGAAACAGATTCTTCCCAAATTGTTCAGAGAAGAAAACGAAAAAAAATGAATTGAAAACAACACGCATCAGTAGAAGAAAGTTTTGAAGATGCGAGATTTGAAGATCAGATTCAGTTTTGAATATTCGAGATTCAAAGATCAGATTTACAAAATCACAGGTGATGCAAAACTTTATTTGATGTATATGAAATATAATAACATACAAAAAATTGAATAAAAATCTTAATTTCGTTTTTTTTTTAAAAAAATCATCCACAGGAAATTTACATACTACTGTCATACAGTTTATCAGTATTTTAATTAACACTTACAGAATGAATAAATATTTTGAAATCAATATTTTGATTAAAAGATAATAACAGTTAGAATTAATTTTTAATTAACTTATATTGATTAAGAGAAATCTTGATATCATTAATTTTTAAAAATTTATGCAGATAAGATGAGCAGGGATCTTTTTATTGTTCAATATAATGGACAATGGATGGATGAAATCAATTATGAAGGATATGAAGTTTGTGGCCTCTTCCATAAAGAGAATGAAAGTTTTGATGACTTATTACTAGCTGTGGAAAAAGTTGTAGAATATGTTCTATCTGATTCAAGATTGGTGATGAAGTATCAGATAAAGCAAGGTTACAAATCGATAAAGATAGGCAACGAGACGAGCCTACAGTTTTACAAAAAGCTAAAAAAGGAAAAAAAAAAAAGATTACACAAAACTGCCAATTTGTGTATCATTGGAGCTAAAACAGTGCCTAGCCATTACAGCATGCCATGTACAAAAGCAAATGAAGAACGTCACCTCACAGTACAACCAATTCCCATCATAGATTATAATGTTTTTAAGAAAGAAAAAAATACAAGGGAAAAGGAAGAAAGTTAAAGAAATTGTGGCGTTCACCATATCGAAGCTCTCTGAGGGAAACGACTAGTAAAATAAAAGAAGGCTTTAGTGTTTTATTGTTGAATTTCAAGAGAAGACGTAAGGAACACCGATTGAAGATGGGCCAGATTCTTCGCATGATGACTAATCCATGGATTGAAGACTTAATTTCGTCCATGTCATGAAGCCCAATTGAAGTGTCCATTATTTTGTCCATTTTCAGCATTTGTGATACCAAAATGTCTCTGAAGTGTTCTTAGAAGTCAAAAAGTCATTCAAACTTCATGTAAGCTTATTTATGTGGTCAAAGGTGTGTCTTTAGTGCATCATGAGTCCCGAAAAGGGGATTAACTCATTAGCACCTTTTGTAGCCTATAAATTTTGTGGTTTAAGGAATGATATGAATATTGCTGAATATTAAGAAATCACTTTTGTGAGATTGAATTCTCTTTTGTAGAGTTTCAATTGTTTTTAAGAACTTATCAAGATACTTTAGCAAGATCTTGTGGCGTTCACCATACCGAGGTTCTTAGCTGATTTATAGCTAACGGGTCGAGGTTTTTAAGCTCTAGGTACGATCAAAGTAGATCTTCGATCTGAGATTCGCTGCCTATTTATACGTTTGATTCTTGGATCATTATATCCAACGGCTCTCTCGTGCTATCCGTATCACTAGAAGAACGAGGAGGGCTTTTGACAGAAATTTTCCTTTTCTTGGACTCAACCACAAGATTCGAACATTTTTTGTCTGCTGATCTAGTTAAAACCATTGAAAATCTAAGAAAAGAAAACGAACAGAACAAGCAAAAAGCTTTGAAAAAAGAACAACAAATGAAATTGAAAGAGTAAAATAAAAAGAAAAAAAAGGCAATTGTCTAATAACTAACACACACAAAAAAACGTGGCATTTAATAAATTAATAAAAACTACTAAAAACCGCCCAAAAAATTATACACCGGTTACAAAGTTTATTAATTAAAAATTTGAAGAAGAACTATAAATGAAAATGAAATGGAGTAAAATTGTCTAAATAGTGAATAAAAGTTTTATTGTTAAATGTGTAAGGAGACAATCAAGGGTCATTTTTGTCGTTTTTTCCAGGTACAAACTGAAGATTACCCATTTCGTGTAAAACGGGGCTCCACCCGTGAGAGGATGAACTGACTGACCCTTCGACTATGTGACTAATATGATTGATAAGCCACTCATGTTGCGACTAAAATCTTTGGGCCGATGGCTTGCGTCCACCCTAACGCGGTGGCTCATCCTCTCCGCCCATTCCTCCGCCGGCAAACATCGCTTCTACACTCAGGTCACTTCCGCCGTCTCTTCACCTCCACCGGTCTCAATACTTCACCCTCCAATCGTCGTGAACGTCCTGTTCAGCCGGTTTTTGCGCAGCCTCGGCGAAGTTTCTCTTCAACGGCGAAAGAAGCAGCAGTAGCATCTCGTAAGTGAAGTCTCATGTTCAAGTCTGATTATTTTGCTTTCAATAACAGCTAAACTCCATGGGAAATCGTAAAAGTGAGATTGATAGATGCTCTTTTCTTTGCTCGGTTTTGTGGTTTTGTGATATGATATGTAGCTGCTGATTTGCTATTCAAGTCGCCATTAAAAATAGTGGAGTATCCTGACCCTATATTGAGAGCCAAGAACAAACGAGTTAACACGTTTGATGAGAGCTTGAAAAACCTTGTGGCTGAGATGTTTGATGTAATGTACAGGTGATTGATTCTCTGCCTTTTTCTATCATAAATAGGGTAGTGTACATTTTGTGGATTGAGATAATGTGTTCCAAGAGGCTTGAACTCAAATTTGGCTTGTAACTTCTAAGTTAATAAAGTTTCCAAAACCCTGCATCTCGTGATCATTCAGCACTATGAGCTCAAATTTTGTTTTTGCTGAGCATCATATTAGCCTATTTGGTGGATGCTCGGAATGTATTTTAAGTTACCGCAGTTACATTTATCGATAGAACTATAGTTTGCGCATCATATTGTGTGCGAAATGGTGGAAAAGGAGTTCTGCAACATCATTGGAGAGCCCTAGATATAGATTTACCATCCACATCTGCTGTTATGTTTCTTTCCTACTTTCTTTCTTTTCTTTTTTTTTTT